TGCCCCGTGCCCTGCCCCCACCCCGACCCGGAGCCCCAGGTGCCCGCAGCTCTCCTTCCTTCCAGCCAGTCAGGGACCCCCGGGGGCATCGGGGGAGAATCCCATTCCTCGGTTCTTTTAACCCACAGAGGAATCAGAAGACGATCAGAATTACAAATCACGGGAGAAGACACGCGGGCTCCGTCACCTGTGAACGCGAAAGGCTTTTCCATTTTCTGCCATTTCCCACTGCCGTACTGCTTCCCGTGACTGTCTGTTTCCTCGACGGTGATGATCTCGGACACAGGCACGGAGCAGGCGTCTGTAACGACAGCACGTGACGCCATTCGAATTCCGCGGACACAAGTCCAACTCCAGAACGCTGGGGCTATCGCGTTAGTACTCATTAGGAACACCAAAAGGAAAACGGAAGGTTACGTGGAATTTTTAAATTCGGAGCTAAATGAGTTCGGGAAAGTCAGTGTTATCAGGAGGTAGGGTGTTTTACTCGACAGAGTCACCCAATGTAGGACGCGACTTCTCAAACGATGTACTCAGCCGTCCAGGCAGCACATGCCGACTTCGGGCCAAGTACCGCGTCAGTGCGGGGAACGATGCTCAAGACACAGCGTCAGCCCTTAGTCTGGCTCAGAAATCCAAGGGGGACAAGAGGCGCAGTGCAACACCCGGGGACCCCGAACCGCGGAGCACGCCCTGAGAGCCGGGGCCGCACTGAGGCCAGGGGTGGGCAGGGCGCTCTGGAAAGTACGGGGTGAGGCGGGGGGTCCCATGGGATGCAGCAGGATAAAGGGAAGACTTGGCTGGGCCTAGGGAATGACAGCCTTGGACATTCTCTGCCTGGGAATCCCAAGGAGGGGCAGGCCGTTGGGGGCAGTTATAATTACAGGACTGGAGACGCCTCCAGGCGAGGCCTCCAGGTAAAGCAAGAGTAAGCACACCTGTGGGGGAGGTGGGCTGACAGCCTGTAACTGACACTGGCAGGAAGAACTGTCCCAGGAGAGCAGAGGACTGGGGGAAGCGGAGGCATCGGAAGACAAGTCCCCGAGGCCAAGAACTCCAGCAAGAACCTGAGAAGGTGAATAGCAAGTCGCCAAAGGCCACAGAAAACACAGTTCCCATCAGGTCAAGTCCTGGGGGCCACAGCGGGGCCGCCCACGGCCCTCTGAGGGGGGGATGACCGCCCTGCGCTGGTCAACCTAGACGTGCCGGCGGGCAGAGGCGCCCCCGGTGCATGCCGTGTGAGCGCGCTAAGCGTACACAGGAACAACGAACCAGCGCAGGCCAACGCTGGGGAACGTCTGGCCGAGAGTCGACAGCGGGAACGTGGCGCCTCCGTTTTCTGTAACGTTAGCGGTTGCTAGTCTTTCGCATGATCTCGCACCACATGCGAGACGATCGCTCACGGGATGTCAGAGTGGAGATGACGGTGTCAGCGTGGAGGAGACAGGGATGTTGGAGGCGTTCGAAGAGTCCTCGATGGAAACGTCTCATGAGTGACCACACTTTAAGTGAATAAGGACAGGGAGGCTCAGCAAGGGAATGCGGCGTAAAAACCAAACGGAAATGCTCGAGCTGGAAAATAAAATGACCAAAGAGAAGAGAGACGGGTGGACTCAGCAGCACAATGCGGGGCAGAGAAAGGGGTCAGTGGACCGGAAGACGGAGCGATAGAGATCACTCCAGCCGAACCACCGAGAAAGATGGATTCCACAGGGCTCCAGGGACCTAATGGACAATAAAAGATCACACATCTGTGTCCCAGAGGACGGAAGGAAAGGGGCCGAAAAAGCACTCAACAAATAATGGCTGAAAACTTCCCAAATTTGGCAAAAGACATAACCTCAAACATGACGAACTCAAATAAATGCAAACTAAGACACATCATAGTCCAACTTCTGAAAATCAAATACAAAATCTTTTGAAAAAAATCTTAAAATCAATGAGAGAGAAATACCAATTTACCCGGACGGGGAACAATTCGAATGACAGTGGCTTTCTCATGGGAAACCGTGGAGGCCAGAAGGAAGTGAAACAGTACGTTTCCAGTGTTAAGAACGGTAAACCCAGAATCTCATCGCCAGCAAAGACACCCTTCAGGGCTCCACGAGACATCGAGCCGTTCTCAGATGGAGGAAAACCAGGAGAACGTGTCGCCAGCAGACCTGCCCTCAAAGAACAGTTCAAGTAAGTAGAGGGGAGACTCCCTGGGGACGAGGGGGGAGAGAGAGCAGGGCAAGCAAAGGCATGGGAGGTCACGACAGCGTCCCCTCTCTTCTAGCTATGCTTGAGGGCTGAAGATAAGATCGTAACACCAGTGTGGTCCTGAGGGTGTGTGGAGGAGACCAGGGCGATCATGTGATAGATCAGAGGGCGATCACGTGATAGATCAGGGAGAGCAACGTGATGCAGATGCAGGGGAGGTTTCTACGCTCGCACCCGCACGATGAGGGCGGCAGGGGCCAGGACGAGGTGGGTCCATGCGGGGCGAAGCCCAGGGCACAGAGACGCGATCGGCAACCATACAGATGATTTACCGCAACAGAAAAATAAGATATACAGGTGAATCAGAACGGAATTCTAAAAAAAAAATAAGCGACCCACGGAAAAGCAAGGAAACAGAAATGAAAAACAGAGAGAGAAAAACAAAACAAAATATACTACGGCAGACGTAAGCCCTAAGCTCTCGATGTTTACATTAAAAAGATGGAGACGGGCCAAGCTGATTAAAAAACATGGCGCAACTCTACGTGGCCCATAGGAACTCACTTCAGATCTAACGAGGAAAGCAAGAAAAAAGACGGGAAAGATGCCACGCAGACACTAATCGAAAGAAAGCAGAGGAGGCCATGCTAACAAAGACAACATGCTAACAAAGACGGAGAGGGACATCACATGACGCAGAAAGGGTCCAGCCAAAGCAAAGATGTAGCCCCCCGAACGTGAGTGCACCGAACGACGGGCAGGACGATGCGTACAGCCGACAGAACCGGAGACGTGCACAGTTCCCGCTGGAGCCTCCGACAGCCCTCGGTCAACACGTGACAGAGCTAGACGGGAGGTCAGCAAGGATGTGGGGGACTCGGCACCACCATCCGCCGGTGGGAGCCGATGAGAACAGGACACGTGGTCTTTCCGGGGGCCCGTGGCACATTCCGAGGTGGCCCACATCACTCCAGCCTGCTCCTTTTGCTCAGGTTCACGTCAACTTTGGTTTGTATGGAGCTGGTTAGAGAGACAGGGACCGGCCCGTTCCGGTGCCCGAGGTCAGGCTGCAAGTGTATGTGCCGCCCCTCGGGGGAGGCTTCGACCCACCCTGTTCTGCTGGGCGCTCTGATTACAGACCAGTGCGTGCTGGATCGGAACCCAGGGGTGCGAGCAAGCTCCCCGAAGGGCAGCAGCAGTTTTTCCAGACGACCAGATCTATTTGGTTTGAGGGTCAAAGTATTTTTAGCCATCTGGATGAGCTGCTTTTATGACACATTACATTGTCATCATTTCTTTAGCAACAATGACTTAGATAGGGTCAGCAAACTACAGGCCAAACCCGGCCAGCTGCCCGCTTTTACAAATAAAGTTTTATTGGCACACAGCCACATGCATTCATTTACATACTGCCTGTAAGCGCTTTTATGCTAAAACAGCAGATATGACAAACTGTGACCCACAAAATATATTTGCTTCTGGCCCTTTAAGAAAACGCTTGCTGACCTATTTCTGAGTAACAAAAGTCCACCTGGGAATTCCGTCAGAACAATGAGTTTTTCTACTACTGCTAAATCTCGTGATCTCACATTAACTGAGGCAAATGCCTAAGAGACACTGTGGCGGGGAGGACGGCTGTTTCCCTGACCTCCGCTTCTGCAGTGACACCTCTCCCGATGGCGGCCATGCGCGAATCTGGAAGGAGATTCTATGGTTTTTAGAAAACAGATAAACACGTATTTTCTATTCAGATGCACTGAGACGCCTCCACAGCGAAACACGCAGGCCATCGGCTTTACACAATCTGACAACCCGCACTGCTTCTGGCTTCGTCGATGAGACAGGGTGCAGGCCAGGCGGATGTCAACGCAGCACGTTAGGGTCGTGGGGTTTACGCCATAGGGTTCTGCGGAATTTATGGGTTTCACACAAACTATTCAGCTTCCTAGCCACACCCTACGGTTTCAGATCCACATCTGTCTCGAGAAAAGTAAAGATGCTTAAGAGAGAACAGAGCGAGAAACTCTGGAACCCCACGAAGTTCTGATGCCAGAGGCAGTGGTGACCCCTGAATGCACCCTGCGGAGGGCAGAAGCGGGGTCAGGGCACGGGCACTGCTCCCCTCCCACTCTGTGAGGGACGGGCCAAGCCCCTCCTCGCACATGCACCCTGCGAACACTCGGCACCTACTGTGTGCACAGCCGCAGAGCCTGGTGCCCCCGGGGGAGGGGGACGAGGAGGTGAGGAGGAGGTGACTCCCCCTGACGCTGGATTCTGCCCGCAGAGAATGCAGCGCAGATGAGACAAGTCCAAAAATCATAAAGGAGAAAGAACCAGCAGGGGGTGGTACAAACGAGGCCTACAAAACTCCGAAGACGACGACCCAGGGGCAGAGCCTCGGACGTGCGGGGCTGAGGTATGAACCCGGGGACAGGAGGGGACGCACGCCGGGCACAGAGGGCCGGAAGCGGGGCTACAGCCACGACCAGGGCTGGCTCGGCTGAGCTGCAGAAGGGGGCAGGTGGCCGCCACAATGGGGTCACATGGTAGGGAGTCTAAAATGCCGGGTGCTGGCTGCAGCACCTCGGACCAGCGAGCATGTATGGAAGAACTTTCTAGAAGGCAAGCACCCAGGGAGAGGTGGCTGGCTGCCCTCCATGCCAGTGCACTATCTGTGTCTGGCCCACGTTTTGCTGTAGCTGCATGGGGTTGTCGGGGACACGCTATATAAACACAGTGGTGACCTGCCCAAGGAGCTCACCACCAGCCTTGGTGTCCCAGGTGGGGCGTGGAAGGGAGGGGAGCGGTCTCCTTCAAAGGCGGAGCCAGGGCGGTGCCCCACCCCCAAGGCCAAGGTGTGTGTGTCTCTCTCTCTGTATCTCTGTCTCTCTCTCTCTCTCCTCCAAGCCCCAACTCTAAAGGAACCCACTCAGAGTCCATCTGAGAGTGTTTTCCTGCAGCCAGGGGTATGGCCCAGGTATAGTTTCAGTCTAAGTTCAACTCGCACGACGTACTTAGAAGCCTCTGTCAGGGCTTCCTGTTTTCAGTCAGCCCCACTTCCGACTCCGGAGCACTTGCTGGCCCACGGCTTCCTTAGCTGCAGGCCTCGCTGGGTCCGGAGACACTGCCCCTGTGAGTCCCCAGTCCCATCTCTGCTCCCAAACAGAGCCACGTTCCCAGCACGGGGACGTGCCCGTGCGTGCTGATGAAAAGCCAGCTCACTGCTACGTCATGTGCCCTGTGCGCAGTCAAGTTACAGCTTCCAGCTTTCACGTCTGAAAACGAGTGATGTTACCGAGAAACGGAAAGGATCGGATGAAATAACCGGAGACGCTACACCGGGCCCAGCGCACTCAGGGCCCTGGCCGGGCCCCCTCCTCTGTCCTTCGAAGTCGCTCTCAAGCCGCCACGTACAGAGCTCCACGGCAGCCCCCCGCCTGGCCTCGTGGGGCCTCCTAGAGCCTGTGTTTCCACAGCCTCTGCCCCTGTCCCTCTGCCACTAGGCCACAGCCCGTCCAGGCAAGTTCGGACACAGCTGGGGGGAGGGGCGGCAGGGCTGGGCGCTGCGCTCATCCCGCGGACAGGTGCGTGTCTCCCTCCTGCCCTCCTGCCCTTGGCGTGGAATCATCCACCGTGGGCCTGATGCCTTTTGGGGTGCAGTTATGAGAAACGTGAAGAGCTGGCGGAGCCCCGTCTCCACATCGTGTTGGAAAGCGCCGTCCCCGGGGGAAGCCCGCCCGCCGGCCCGCAGCCCTGCCTCTCGGGGAGCGGGTGCCTGCGCAAAAGCACCGTCGGGTTTCAGAGCGAAGCAACGACCGTTCCAGAAGAGAAGGCGGCGTCTGCGTAGCGGGCGGCCGGCACACGCGAGCAGACCAAAAGTGGACACTGCCGCCTCGCAGCACCCGGAATCTGGTGGCCGGAAACCATAATGGCCAGCCAAGGATGCCAACACGGCAAGCAGGCAGGGACTGGCGTCCCACCGGGCGTCCCACGTGGGCGGGGTCTGCCCAGTGTCCACGTGGCCCCTCAGGCCCGCGGGGGCCACACCTTGCTGCTCTTGAGCAGGGCGGCTGTGCTCGGACCCACCCAGCTCCCGGCCGACCACTAGTTGGGCCAGTCACTTAAACACGGTACAGCTCTGTCTCTTCACTCGGAAAATACAGGAGGGGCTGTCCCAGAAACCCATGATGGCTCACGGAGAAGGGACCCAGTAAACAGAGTAAGGGAGGCAGTGTGTGGTCATCCTTAAGCCCACGCAGTTAAAGGCCAAGTCCCCATCTCCGCCCGCCCTCCCCCCCCTCCCACCTGCCCGCCCCCACCAGCCTCCCACCTGCACGCCCCCACCAGCCTCCCACCTGCACGCCCCCACCAGCCTCCCGGCTGGTCCCAGGGCCCCTGCACTTGCTGTTCCCCGCGCCTGGACCATCTCTCCCAACCCGCACAGGTCTCTCCAGGCCTCTGGTCAATGCCGGGCCCACCCATCCCCCAGCCACCTGCCCCCACCCGGCCAGGGTCTCCTCCTCAAACGTGTGTGCCCATGAGAGCCTGTCCCTCTTTTCAGTGGAAAATGCTTGACTGAGCTGGGACTTTGTCATAGGCACCCGGCCAAGGCTGGATACTGCGATGCCCTCCGCAGCACGCCCTCAGCAACAACTCGGGAAGACAAAGAATGAGACGGAACACGCCCACACTTGCCAGCCCCGCGGGGGTGGGGGTGGGGTGGGGGTGCGGTTCCTGTGCCTGGAGCCTCCCCCGTCTCACTGTCCAAACCCGGCCTTCTGTAATCCTCCTCCTCCTCCTCCTTCCCAGGGTCAAATGACATCTCTGTGATAAGCCTGTGCCCCTGCCTCGGCGGCCAGGGGGCGCTGCCAGTGAGCCCTCCCTTGGAAAGAGGGCCCTTGTCCACCCACCCAGCCACCTCACAGTGCCCTCAGCGCTGCTGAGTCCTTCCTGACCGTCCATTTTTTTAATCTAAATTACACTTCTCCAAGTGGGGAGGACCCCTGAAGGGCATGTGTCCAGCCTGTCACGCCAGAACACCACCCTCCCCCAGCACATCCGGGACAGAAGGTCACGAGCCCCTCCCTGCTCTCTCCGCGGGAAAGCAAGCCGGTACCCCGAGAGGGAACCTCTGGGTTTCGGATCCCCGCCCAAGAGCAGCATTTTCGCGGGGTTCACACTAACGAACAGAACGCGCGGCGCTCCCTCGGGGCCCTCGCAGTCAGCCTCGTCCGGGCGGTGTCCTTCAGATACCTGCGGGCTGGCGGGAGGGGCGCGCTGCCGGGCGACACCGCGGGACGCAGACCTCGGGGCGGTCAGGACCCCCGCGCCCTCTGGGATCGCATCCCGCAGGTTTTTTCCCGCCCTCCCCGCCCGCACGCCCGGCTCGCTCTTTGTCGCCCCGTGCCCGGAGTGTGTTTGTGTACTTGTCGCCCTGTCCCCGGACTGAACACTGTCCGCGCGCTGCCAGCTGCCGCCGAGGTCCCCGCCTCCGGCCTGAGCGCGGCCTGGGG